TTTCTTTAAAGAGTCAGGTACCCCTGACTTGTTAAAATATGCCAAAATTATAACGCAGTTTAAAGTTGAATATTACATTTCAGATATTAAAATAGTTTAAATAAAATACCTTTTTTATCAATGACATAAAATTGTAATAGAGACTGTAAAAAATACAAATAAGTACATCGTTAATTTTTAGCTAGCATTATCTCAAATTAGAAAAATAATATATATTTAGAATGATCTACTTTAAATGTCATAAAATATTACTCTCATAAAAACCAAATTTCTTGAATTTGAAAACGCAAAATTGACTGTTTTTTTAAGCATAATTTCTAAAGCTTTTGTGCGAAAAAATAAGGTGCTACTTTGGTAGACGGTTGCACGGATTTTTGGCGATTTACGTTGGCGCAATTGTTGGCGCGATTTTTACAATCGTCAGCCATCTTGAAAAACGCTGTTTTTACGCATAGTAAAGTATTCGAAACTTCAAAAAAAAAAAAAAAAAAAACAATAAATATAATAAATAAATATCGTTAAAAGTAATGGATTAATTTTTTTGTTGAAAGGTTCGTTTTAAGATGCAGGCAAGTGTAAATAAATACATACTAGGAGTATAAGTACTAAAGTAAGGCTATTACTTTCATATAGCAAAAAAGAGAATAAAAACAACCGCTATAAAAAATTGTGCCACGTTTAATTAGATAAAATATTACTGAATTGAATATCAAATTAAAAATCCTACCAACATTAAAAGAATTAGATATTATTAAATTCAAATACTTTAAAGACTTTATTAAAAATATAATTAACTTAAACATATGTGACATAATTATCTCAGAATTTTTAACATAGTGTATTATTTTTTTAAACAAAAATTGAGTATACAATTTAAATAAGAAAAATATGTACTTACATTTTTTTTGAGTAATTTAATTGTTTTATTGATAAGTACCACAAAAAAAAAATCATAATTTAATTGGATCTTTTAACCATCTCATCTGTTATACAAATATCTCGCTTCATGGAAGAAGCAATTACGAGGTTCCTCCAAAATTTTCCTCTGACGCTATTAACAATTTATAACAAATCTTTGTTAGAAAGACAGTTGGCCAAAATAAGTCTCAAAGGCAAATTTTTTTATTCCAATACCAATAATTCTTGGTAATTACCATAAAAACATTCGTCTTCGAAACGGAGATATCCATTCCATTGAATCCGGGAATTCGAAGAGAGAATATAACTTTTAAAATGGCTCGGTAATGCACAAAATTCAGTAACCATCAGGACTGATACATCACGCATAGAATAAAATTATTTAAATATCGTTCATTATAAAATCATTTTTAACAAATGCAAAATTAAATTTTATTATATTTAACAGCCATAAATAATGTTTAAAACATTAGATTATTTATAGATTAATAAAACCAACTACTTTTTTAAGTAAGGTGACGTCATTGATACATCATCCACAACAAAAATACCGTATTACCGCGATAAGTCGAGATATTGGCAAAGAAGACTCCAAAGTGGGGGGTCGACTTATACGCGGGACCATAAAAAATTAAAGAATCGGAAATTAAAAAAATTTCTTATATAATGCAGTTGTTTTCTTCCCGCGCTGAATTGGACGATTATCAATAAGTCCTTACTTGAAGTAATTTCATGACTTAAATTAGGTGACGAACTAATCACAAACTCTCAGACTTTAAACTATAGAAGTTTCGATTAACCAAAGAATTTTACCCCGAACACTCGGCAATATCGAGCATAAAATGTTTCGCCACACGCCAGAAAAGAGAAAAGAAAATAGTTTTACGTAGTATAAGTCTTTATAATTATTTGTTCCTTCATGAAACTTTTGTTAACAGGCGTACACGTCAAAATTTAAAAAAACAGCCCACGCAATAGCTGAACAGTTTTCAATATTTCTTTTAACTTTTAAAAAGGGAAAATGCAGATAGATTTTCCGGAACAAATTCTAGAAGTTACTAATACGATAACTTCATTCTAGAAGGCAATTAAAGCCCGATATTACATTAATTGCTCAGTGGGTTAAAGATGCTTGGAATGAAATACTCTCTGAAATGATTATAAAATCATTTAAAAAATGTCGTCATTCGACAGAAGATTCTGTGTTCTGACCTTTGCTATATCATTTTTTTCTATTTCATTCTCCTCCTAATCTGCTTCTATTAATTCTCTTTGAGCTGCTACATGAAAAAAGCCTTAAACGCCTAAATTTCTACGGTTTTTATCATTCTTACATTTCTTCATTTAAGTTTTTTATTAATTTCTCTGTATTTTTTCTGAAATCAGGAATGATTTCATCCGTTCATTCAGCCCGATATTTTTACTTCTTCATAGGCAGAGATTTTGCTATTTTGTAGAGCCTTAGTTTCTCAGAGCAAAAAAAGGGTAACAATCAGCACTGCTGTGATTCGAACTACGAATCTTTTAACTGCTACCTGGACGTGTTACTATTCCACTAGAATATGCACAGAGAAAAACGATAATTTATCATATTATTCTCCACAATTTTGAATTTGGAAGAACGAGACGCAGTCAACCAATTCCAGCTAATAATTGTTTACTACATTTTAATTCCAGCCCCTTAACAGAACCTTTTATTGATTACACAATAGCTTTTTGGTCCCAAAACGAAAGACGAACTTCCGTGCTAGGCAGCCATCCACTGCTACATCATAGAAAATTGTATATAGATGTTGTCTAATATTGTGATGTTCAGTTTAATGCCACTGATATAAGAACCAATCAATCGCAGCGAAGCAAACACGAACTGATGATTTCATCGAAGCAACTGCACATTCATGCACACTCAACTTTAGCTTCCCTGATTAGCTACGGCTTGAAGTTCTTGACTATGACAGTCAATGATTTCATCGAGTCAGCTGCACATTCATATATGCTCAACTTCAGCTTTTCTGATTGCTACAGCTTAAATTCTATTCCTCGAATCGAAAAGTTCATGATTATTACATTCAACGATTTAACCGAGTCAGCTGCACATTCATGTATGCTCAACTTGGAGATTAAAATAGTAATTAATAAGATGACCCTCTGATTCCCTGATTGGCTACGGTTTAAATCCTATTCCACAAATCTGAAAGAAGTTCATTGCACATTCATGCATGCACAGCTTTAGTTTCCCTAACTGGCTACAGCTTAAACCTTATTCCGCAGATATTAAAGAAACCCTTAAGACAGGAATATTGGACATGACAGTTGGGAAACTATGCCACCATCTGAATACTCTTAGGGAATTCTCTAAGAGGTTAAAACCAAAGTGGTTAAGACTTCCTGAATATTGGTATTTAACCTGAGTTCCAACTGAAGCGAACGGGATGGTTGCACGGTTGGTTTCCTTAGAAAGTCTAAAACGAAGGTACTATTCCATAGGCAGATAGTCCTCGTAACCTTTACTACATTCAAGTAACCTAATCTAATCTCTCAGGTTTCTCGGTGCGAGGTTCAGTGAAAGGATACTCGTTGGAGACGTAGTCATATAATTATCGTAACTGCTTATCAATTATTAATTTAATGCTTATAAATTATTAACAGACCTACCTATTGAGTGACCTACCTATTAACATTTTAGTAGCGTATTCTACTAAAAATTATTATTTTATACTAATTATTTAATTTTTGTTATTAACATAAGTGGTGTTACTAGTCTCGATTCTCACGTTTTTGTCCCTAGCACATTTGTGTATATATCACTTTTCAAATGAAAGGATGTTGCTACCAAATGTTATCGCCATGTATTAGTTTCAAGGAAAAAATACAGCGAATATAAAGTATGTATGGCAACACAAACAAAAGGATGTTGCGATCAAATGTTATTGTTATGTATTATTTTTAAAGAAATAATATCGCGAATGTAAAAAATAAATGTACAACAACACTTAAATATCTGTCAGGAATTTTAAAAACAGGTGGATTTCATATATTTTGTCATTTTGCTGTTGAATTTTATAAGGCTCAAGTGCAAAGAAAGTGATGTTTATTAAATAAAGTCCAAAATGTTAATAATAAAAAATCATCTTACCAAGAAAACTGAACATAGACATGATGAACTGAAAACAAATTTGAGTAGAAAAATTGTATGCCAACACTTTGTAGGGTTTCCTGTGCAATGGGAATGTGGAGGGTAGATATTGCAAACCTTAGTACGCTAATAATGAATTATCTCTTCATCTTAAACAACTCACAAAATAGTAAAGAATGTTAAAATAACCTTTTTATTTAATTTTAAGTTGAATATAATAGCACAACTTTGCAAAATTTTCGCTACTAGTGGATATTTAAATTAGCATAACGAAAGTTAATTTCAAAACATAGGAACTCTAGGAACTCAGAATAGACTAACTGCACATAGAAGTAGACTAATTTAAGTTGGCTCAGAATTTTACTGCTGCGTATTTTAAAAATATCAGCTAGCGAGATGCTAAGTCCCGAAACTTTAACACTTATAACATTTACACAGAAATGCGGAAAATACTAACAATAAGACGTGACTGCCAGAAACTTCACTCTGAAGATTCAAAACTTTTAGATAAAATACACAAAACCCTGCTTTGCGCTCTAGCGAGTAACAGAGAAGTTATAGTGAAGACATAAATCATAATAACTGGTTAATTCAGATAAGATATTCTATAACTAAACATTGCATCAGGAAATCTAAATATATGCTGCTTTTAGAAATTTATGATTTTACTGTTGAATTTTATGTGGCGTAAGGGCGAAGAAAGCGAAATATAATAATGTAGCTAATAAGACAAAAAATTGTGTTAGTAAGAGTGAATCCAGAAGCAAATTGGTAAACTGCGACCTCAGCGAGAGCATATAAAAAAGCCTTAATAAATCCTTTGGAACGACTTTAAAATCTGAATTCTTTCAGATTTTCTTTCTTTTTTAAAAAATTGCCTTGTAAGAATAAAAATTAATTCAAAATATTTTTTCTGCTATTCATCGATGATTTATTTCCTATTCAGGTTTAGAGAATCTCGTCCATGGTGTTGAAGAAGAGGAATCTGAATTACCCTCACATCAAGTGCTCCAACAATGGGTGAATCTTGAAGAATCCTTTAGAGAATCTGTGGATGCTGTTGTTCGGCAAGCCTTGCCCTTACTAGTAAGAGCCTCTTCCGAGATGCAACTAAGTAATGGATGTTATACAAGTTTCTTTCAACTTCTATTAGGACTACGGCGCCTCAGACCCTGGGCTTTCCAAAGTAAGAATCTTATCAAAAATTTATTTTTGGATTTAAGTTAACCATTATTTCTTCCTTAAAAGCTATCTACTATTAGTTAGTTAATTTTCATTTGTTTATTATTCCATTCCATTTATTTTACATTTAAGTCTGGCGTTGTGGCTTTTAGATAAGTGTTAAATTATTTGGAGGGTTAGGATTTTTATGTATTCAGTTTTTGCATCCCAGCTTATTAGCCAAAAGATAGTAAGATATAAAGGAATGTGATTTCGTTCCTCTGAGTGGAAAATTAAAGGATTAAAGGACTTTAGTTCTTTTGATAGTAAGATTTCAAGGAATGAGATTTAGTTTCTCTGATATCAAAATAATAATAATAATGATATGTTCTCAAGTATTTTTATTACTCCGTATTTGTTAGCTGTTTGTAATTTAATTTCAGTTAATCCTTTATTATTAATTATTGTTAAAGATTGCGTTGTCACTCAGACGGTATAGTGGTTAGGGAAACCTACTACGGTCCCGGAAAAGACATGGATGTTTGTAAATGTATAGTGTCGGTGCGGCATGGCGGCACTCTAAATATGCAGCGAGACGAAAGTCCTCTCGTGTGGTTTGGTGGAAGGGAAGAGGGGTGGGAGACTCCCGGATGCGTATTTCACAAGTGCACATCAGCGTAGCCACTGAGGGAGGGGTTTCGAAAACGGACCAATGAGCTTCTATTTCTTTTGTGACGCTAAATCTTCGTGCATGTGAGCATAGTTGTTTACGTTTAGTTCATTTGTTTCGCAGTCATAAATATATGGCGTAATAGTAGAAATCTTGAGTGTCTTTCGTTTTCTGAGTTTAATTAATCGCTGCATTTCACTTTCGCGATTTTTATCCCGCAATAATTTTGGATTTGATGTTCATGGCATTTTTGGATTAAAATAATCCAAGTCTACATTTTTAATTGAGCTGAATGACTGAAAGGGTTACATGAATCTAGTGTTTTCTTATTTCAATACTTGCATTCTTTTGATTTTAGAGTGTAAGATTCAGAGTACATATGATCTGATTATATCCACTGTTAACATTAAAAATTTTATATGAATTAATTGAATATACTCATTGTGAGTACGATAAACGATGATGATGTATGATGATGTTTGATGAGTATTTCTTGTGTAGACAGTGCATTTCAGAGTGAGCATTTATTAAATGTGAAATTTAACGCACTAAATATATACGAATACCAATTAGTAAAGTTCACTTTGAATAAAATTTCGCATTGGTTATTATTATAGAACATCTTTTTCATAGAGACTGCAATAAAAAGGGCTGACTTCTATTTACATATATTGGTGTAAATTTTTCTCATACGCATAGTTTATAAAAATTGCATTTGGGCTCAGATGTTTATCACATATTTCTTTCTTTATCTTGTTTAGCACTTATTAAGTAATATTTCACATTGGTATTTTTGGGAAGTATGCAACATGTGTTTGTATTTATTTCAACCAGGTAGTGAAATCTTTATAATTTCCTATATTTGACCTAACTTTGCAATGAAAAGTTTCAGAAGCAATCAACGATGCTTTATTTATTTTGTACGGAAAATTGCGTGGCAGAATATTTTCAACCATCTTGCTTAAATCTTGAAGCACGCGAAAAGTCATGTCACATGACAGAAATATTACTGGATGCTCATTGGTCCATCCTAGAAGCCACTCCCTCGGTGGCTACACAGATGTACACTTGTGAAATATGCCTCCCGGATCCCCCCGGGGTGTTCTCTCTCAAAGTTGGGGTGGAAAATAGAAGTCCAACTTTTCTTTGGAGTAGGCTTTGGCAACCATTGCTCCATGTAATATAGACAAAACAACAACAACAAAGATTGCGTTAAACCACAGCAAGTAAATTTATTATATATTGTGATTGTGTTAAACATACAAAAGAAACAGTTAAATAATACGATAATAGACATTTTAAGCAAACTGAGTTAGGAATTTTAACCGTCCATTTTCCACCTCCCCACATATAAAGTAGTTTAATGCAGGTGTTCTCAAAGGGGAAATTAAGAAACACCCCTTCCGCCAAGTGGCGAAAAGATTAATAATCTCATTTGATTATTGTTTAACTACGTACTTTTTATCGATGCAATAAAATACTTTTAAATAATTCACAGTAATGAAAATACTTGTGAGTAGATTATTGTTAGTTTATAGCTTTCATATTAGGTAAACAAGTAAAAGTGCATGGGGCACAAGAAACTTCTCTACAAAAGCGAACAGGTATTGCCTCAATACATTAACCAGCTAGAGTATGAAAAACTGGAATTTACAACTCTGGAGTTATACATCGAAGTTGTTATATGCAAACATGAGAGGATAATGACATAAAATTACGAAAAGTTACAAAAATAACACAAATTGTTTAGTAAACTCATTAAAACATTGGATTAGGTAAATACAGTAGAATTGATATTTTGGAAATTGTTGCCCTGCAAATTTTGCATTTTTATGTAAGTAGTAGATAAACGTACGGGATTTGATTTTGCTAATATATTGGGAGACTGAATCTTGTTATGTTGAGAATATTTGTTACAGGCAAGACTGAACAGAGCTCAGATCTATTAGTCCAAAGTCTCAAGTTCATAAATAAGTTCATGGTCTCATCTCAGTAAGTTAGGTGTTTTGAAGCATTATGGAAATTGTTGATGTTGTTCGGAGTCAATTATTGGGCTGTAGCCTAGACATTGCTCTTTCCGCTTTTTCATTTACGGTCCTAAGATATTACTTGGAATAGGTCCAGTCCTAGAGCACTGAGCTTTTGGTGTACTTTCATTATTTTTGGATATAGGTGGCGTTGAGATATTAGCTTCATATCAGGGGAACTAAATCTCATTTTTTCGCATTTTACTAAATTTTAAATCTTTAACTCAGCTGGTATGAAACAACTGAATGCTGAACATGATCTAAGCGTTCAAGTAATTTAAGAATGTCCTAAGCCAGGGATGGGCAAACGTTTTCGTTCGCGGGCCAAAAATCGAAAAAAAAAAAAAGTTTGGCGGGACAAGATAAATTTTTCTAAAATTTTAAAAACAATATACAAGTATCACGATTTAAATACATTAATGAGATGAATGAAATTGCGATTTCATTTTTAAAAGTTCCTTATATTGAGGTTCGAAGTGGGATGTACTGATTCTACTCATCTGTCATACTCATCTGTCAGTCTACTTCTCAAATAATTCTTTCTAAGCTTCGCAGTTGAAAACACTTGTTCACATGTATTAATACTAATTGAGCAGTGTCATTTATATCAGTGCTTTCATTCATACCTATGGAGCAAAATTTAAACTGGTAAAATGGAGCAAAATTTAATTATATTTTGACTCTAATTGTGATGTCAAATTTTTACCGATATCTTCTATTCTAGAAGTTACCGTTTTTCGAGATTAGCTTACAGTCTGAAAATTATTTTTCTTGTCTAGACATAACGCGTCACCAACTTGGAGCATGCAACGAACTCCTCATCACTGAGAGCTTTGTTATTTTTAGCAATATTTTATGCTACGGTGTAACTTGCATACGTAGCTGTTTCCTGGATACTGTTTACTTTCTTGAAACATTTTGTCGGCCTGATAAATGTTTACGAAGACTTTGTGGTATTGCGTTTTCTTTCATATTCGGACATTGTTTCGTAATTTTTAGTTTTTAGCACGGCACTTTGAATCAACTTTACGTATTTTAGTAGATATTTGAGGTTGAATTATTTTACGAATAACCCAAACAAGCGTTAGCTAGGCTATACTTTTAATAATTTCACCACTATTCACAATGATGCTATATGTCCATAATCTTTCCATATACAATCAACAATATTAGAACTCGCGCCGAAAGAAAAAGCCGCAGACTGGAGCTTAAAATACGCAGTCTGCCACATGTGAAGTCTAATTTCCCTATATTGGATTCCCATACGTGTGCTCCCCGAGAAAGAGATAAAGCTTGTTGGTGCCATTTTACAGCTATAACTAATAAAGAACTTCCGCTTTTAACACTTTACCGAGCTGTCTGTGCTTGCTATTTCCGTCGATTTATGTTTTGTAGAACAAAAATAGAGAAAGCAAAAAGATCATCAGTCCTTTGAAAAAAAGGAAGAAAAAAATAATATTTAAACAAAGTAGAAAAAGAGATAGATATATAATGTATAAATATATATTTCTTTTAATTTCTTTTAATTCTTTAAATTTTTCAAACTAAAATTGTATTCGTGGGCCGGATAGAACTTTCCGGCGGGCCGGAGTTGGCTCATCCCTGTCCTAAGCTCTCAAGTACTTTAAACACATACTTTTACACATTTCAAATAAAATTCTAACTTTAACTTGCAATAGTCCATTAACTCTGTAATTTGGATATTTCCCTTTTTTATTCTAAAGTATTTACTTCCTATATTACATCTCTTTTCACTGCGTCATTTCAAAATTAATTCATGTGATATGATTCTTATATAACGTCAATTACACAGATAATTTACTTAAAGTATTCAGCCAATAATAATTTTAGACGCTTAATTACTAACCAGCCTTGATTAAAATTGGTTAATAACCGAATGATATGTATTCTTACAGAATAATTAATTAATAATTTAATTAATGGATCTCATGATTTTACAAGAAAAAACTATTATTTGAAATTTTATTGTATATGTTTCGAAAAAGTGGGGTATTTCGCAACTGCCCGTAGCCCACAAAGTGTATAACGTAACACGCTCTCCCGCAATATTTTCAGCCATAGATGGCAAAAATAATGGGGTAAAGTCCACGTTCATACTACACTGGCTATTGTTTGAGCAGCGTGTTTTGTTCGGTTTGCTTATAACTAGTATTTTGCACATTAGTATTAAATACAGTCGTTACGTCGTATCGGCTTATTCAGTATTGACGGTCTACGTAAGGCGGTACGAAAAAGTCAAAACCCTGAGATTAATACTTTTTAAGTGCTAACGATGTGTAACATAGTAAAGTACAGAACTCAGACACT